CCAATATTGGGGGTGGGGGGGTCTCTCGGCATCACCCCCTCTCTCCTCGCAGGGGGGGCTGCGGGTGCTGGAGGCGCTGGCGGCCTCGGGGCTCCGCTCCATCCGCTTCGCCAAGGAGGTGCCGGGGCTCCGGGCCGTGGTGGCCAATGACTTCTCAGCTCGGGCCGTGGAGCTGATGAAACGCAACGTGGCCTTCAACGGGGTGGGGGACCTGGTGGCCCCCAACATGGCCGATGCCAGGTAAGCCCCCCCCCCAAATCCTCCCAGGGGGCAGCACCCTGCCGTTCTCCCCCAGCACCCTCGGGACACCCCAACTGCAGCCCCAACCATGGGGCCTTACTGGGGTTTTCCCCCCAATACTGGGGGGGTCCAAACAGGTCCCAGCGTCCCCACAGGGGTGGGCAAGGGGGTGTCCCCTCCCCCTGCCCCGAGGGACACAACCCCAAAGTGGGGACTGGTTTGCAGGGACCCCCACCAGTCCCTCCCAGTGCGGGCTGGGCAGTTTCTGGGGGGTTTTCTGAGGGCTGGGGACTCCCCCAAGGGGCCCATTGGGGTCCCCATTGCTCCAGGACCCCCCCTTTTTCCCCCCTTGTCCCCCAGGATGCTGATGCACCAGAGCAAGGCGGAGAGGGAGCCTTTTGATGTGATCGACCTGGACCCCTACGGCAGCCCCGCACCCTTCCTGGACGCGGCCGTGCAGGCGGTGAGCGAAGGAGGTGAGAGAAAGGGGGGACACCAAGGATGAGGTGGGGGTGTCCCAGGCACCTGGGTCCTCCCCTGACCCCCCCCCTCAACCCCCCCGGGGACAGGGCTGCTCTGTGTCACCTGCACGGACATGGGGGTGATGGCGGGGAACAGCGCCGAGACCTGCTACAGCAAATACGGGGCCGTGTCCCTCAAGGGCAAGTTCTGCCACGAGATGGTGAGTCCTGGGGGGGGTTGAGGGTGAAGGAAGGGGGGTCCCCATCGTGGGACAGGGGGGTCAGGGCTGTCCCCTGTGCTCCCCCCCTCCCCCAGGCCCTGCGCATCATCCTGCACAGCCTGGACGCCCGCGCCAACGTCTACCAGCGCTTCATCCTCCCCCTCCTCTCCGTCAGCGCCGACTTCTACATCCGCGTCTTCGTGCGGGTCTTCACGGGGCAGGCCAAGGTGAAAGCCTCGGCCAGGTGAGCCCTGTGGGGAGGGGGGGGCATT